ACACCATGGAGTCACCAGGGCAGGCACAGCCTGAGAGCTTCTGTTCATCCCATAGTCACTCAGAGCAGTGCACAGCCTGCTCACCACAGAAAACCTCCAAATGTCGTAATTCTGTCAACCCCTACAATTTTATGAGTCCCTGTAACTTCTCTTCTCCACCCCAGGCCACTTTGCCCGCTCTCATGTGAAAGGTCAATCTTGATATGGCTGCCTGTTTTCGCAGGAGATTTCAAATCAGATTTCTCATTGTGATCTTGGCCTTCTGACCTCTTTAACTTCTCTGAATTTAAATGGAACATACCTATATGGAGCCCTTCAATGATGGGGGCCAAGCAAGGGCTCTCTCTGTCCCACCCAGCCTTCCACAGTGCTGTACCATGGGCCTAATTTTACCCATCATTTTCCATTTTTGATCCCAGTTTTTGATAATTGTCTAATGAAAACCAGTCTGCTGGGATGAGTACCAGAGACTCTCCTTTTTCTCTTTTTCTCTCAGTTTCAGTCCTGTGGGTGTTGATTCACATTACTTTTTTTTCTTAAGGTGAATTTAAAATTTTTTTTTAGTTATAGATGGACACAATACCTTTATTTTATTTTTTTTAATGTGGTGCTGAGGATGAAACCCAGTGCCTCACAAGTACTAAGCAAGTGCTCTACCACTGAGCCCCAGCCCCAGCCCTTAATAACAGAAAGTTCTGCCTTCCTGGGAGGAGCCATGGCCTATGCCCTCGCCTTTCCCCATCCTTTTGTTAATCACCTCAAGCTCATTACCATAGAGTATAGCTCAGTTTTGCAGCAGTAAGTTCACACAGGAGTCCCTGAAAAGGAGCCCCTAACTGCTACTCTTACCACAATCTGGGCAGTGGGCACATTTGGCAGGTAAAAATCCTGGTCATCCTAAAGCCAAGCATTTACCTTGTCTACAAAACTATTTTATCTGGAGTGTTCCAGCAATAGGGGGTGTTGACAAAGTAATTCTGCTTTAAGAGAAATAAATGCAAGTCATAAAGGCCCAGGATTCAAGTTACTCAGAATGACAAGCTGCACTGTTGGAGAGGAAACAAACAGAGCAAATGAGTCATAAATCAGTATTGTCACTAGGTACATGGCTGGGGTCATCAGGTAGGTGGGCCACAGAGAGGCAGGGAAGTCTCTCCTGCAGGACGGAGGTGTTCTCCTAGGGTGTTTGCAGCTTTTGGCTGGTGGAGGCTAGAGGTCTGCTACAGGGAGTACTACCTCCTGGGAAGTCGGTGCAGCTGGAGGCACAAGGTCAGTGAATGGCTGTGAAAGCACTGCGGAGGCACCCACCCACAGAGCAAAGGGGTAAGGGGTTCCCAGCCACCAGTTCCTACGATCTCAGGAAGAATTTCAAATAAGTCTCAAAATTAACAGCAGGAGTTTATTAAAAGAGTCAGAATACAGTGCCCTGGTGCACAGCTGCAATCCCAGAGACTCGGGAGGCTGAGGCAGAAGAATTGCAAGTTCAAAGCCAGCCTCAGCAACTTGGTGAGGCCCTAAGCAACTTGATAGACCCTACCTCAAAATAAAAATAAAAGGGCTGGGGATGTGGCTCAGTGGTCTAGTACTCCTGGGTTCAATTCCTGGTATAAAAAAAGAAAAAAAAAGTTAGAGTACAGACATTTAGGCACCAAAGGGGTTGCCCGGGGAGGACTAGCCCTTGCAGATCCAGGATTTTTAAGGATTTGGGTCCCTTTGCTCTAGCTTTGGTTTTTCTTTCCCCTAGGTGGCTTATTACCCCTCTGTTGAGCCTTAAGCAATTTTTCTTTGTGAGGGTCCTGATGACCTGGTTACAAGGAGAGGGTTTGAGGACTGGTCACAAGGGACAGGTGTGACATGGTCTTGAAATAATAGTTCCCTTAAGGGTTATAATTAAGTGTACCTGTGGAGGATTGGCATACTAGTTCCCATTTTCCGGTTGCTTGTCTGCTTTGTGAAGTTTTTATTACCCCAGTCCTGTGGCCTGTGGACTCTTGGGTTCACATGTCTGAGGTCCCCCTGTAAGCTATTGCAGTTGACTGTCCTCCCTACCCACCTGCTCATGGCTAAACTGTCTACCTAATACAAGGACTTAAGCCAGCCCAGGTTGGGGGCTGGGGCTGGGGCTCAGTGGCAGAGCGCTTGCCTAGCGTGTATGAGGCACTGAGTTTATTTGGGGCTCACAATTTCAAAGATTCAGGCCGGCCGTGGTTGGCCAACTCCAGTGCTCTGGACTCAAGGTGAAGCAGACATCATGGTGGAAGGGCAGGTTGAGGAAAGCTGTTCATCTCATGGCAGCTAGAAAGCAGTGAGGGGGGGAGGGAGGGAGGAAGATGTTGTCCAGGCCATGCCCTCAGTAACCTAGTTCCTCCAGCCAAGCCCCACCTGAGAATGACATTTAACACTCAGTAATCCATTTAAATTATTAACCCATCAAATGGATTAATCCACAGATGAGATTAAAAGTCTCATAATTTCACCACTGAACATTCCTGCATTGCCTAACACATGAGCTTTTGGGGGCACATTAAAAATTCAAACCATAATAGCAAACAAGTGGATGAAGGGGTGGTCTATGCTAGGTAGTGGCACATGCTAGGTAGGTAGGTTGGTGATGTGTCTGGGTGTGGGGGGTAGGTAGGTTG